CACAGGGTTTGGGGAAGTCCTTGCCTCGCTGGGGGTAGTAAAGTTCCTGCTGATCTTGAACTCTCCCATCCCTTCTACTAAAGCATGTGCACGTCAAGCTGAAGAATGTGCATGTGACTGCAACACCACTGCAGTTACGGTATCTAATCAGATTAGTCTATAAGCATTGAAAAATGGTACAGAAAGTTAGTTGACTTGAATTGACTATTCACAACTTTGCAAAATTCATGGAAAATAAATTCCTAGTTACAAGCCAGGATTTAACTCATGAGCCAGATTTGCAGAGTATGACTTTGTTTTGGTAAGGCAAAAAGGAAAAATAAATACTTCAGCTTCTGGTTACCTGATTGACCCTGTTTTTATGGCGAAACTCTTACCTTTTTATCAGCAAGTAAAAAAACAAATAATAAAACCCAAATCCTGTTTTTTTTTTCTGTCTTCACAAAATACCATCAATCTTTTTGTATCTAAAATGCCCACATTGCTAATTTTGAAAAGAAACAAGCTTTTCACAAGTTCCCTTCACTGTTCATGATCGCAGTAGTGATGATTGATGAAGCAATCCTGCACTGGTTCCTGCTACGCTATGCACTAAAATTGCCAAAGGAGGCAGTGTTTCTAAACATGTGAATTGCCAAATAGCATTAACGTTATCACACAACACTCATACCAGTATTTTAGCTAGGATTTAAAAAGTGGAAGTGCAAAATGAAAAACAGGGAGTGCAATCTTGTTAGAGTCCAAAATTTGCGTGCAAAGCACGCAACACGAGTGTGCAGTGCGAAGTCCTTTACAGCTGAAATCTATGGCCCGCTTAAGGGCCCTGGAAGCTCTGGCTATTTTATATGCCCTCTGGTGGTCTCTGATAAATTTGTGACATTTTTCATGAGATTTTTGCCTTTTCAAACAAAAAGTAACAGCTTTTGGAAAAAATTTAATTGTAAAACTGTCTGCAGTTGTTTTATATAGTGTGATAAAAAGCCCTGCAACAGCTAGTTAATTACAATTTACTCTTTAACAACTAGTGGCTTTCCCTTCTAATCTGTGGGGAAATAATGGCCACTTGTCACTTTCCAGTAGTACTCGACACGCTTTTGTGCCTTTTTGTTTGCAATACATTACATTCAGATTATTATGCAATAAGCAAAAAAAAAATGATGTAAAAATGAATCCTGGTTTTCCTACATGCATGTTTCCTTTGGCAGTTTGGCTTAGAACAAACAAATTGAGTACAAGACTTGACTTAAATGTGGATGAAAAAGTACATGTCATACCATGTACATGTAAACTGTACACACATCGACGCACACCACAGGCAGGCCACGTTATCGCGCATGTGCACGAGTCTGAACATGGCATCAGAAGAAATCGACAATTTTTTTCCACTGTTAAAGGTAGAACAACCTGAACAGCTTTATGCTGATTAGTGACAACAGCAAAGATTCCGTGTAGGTCAACCCTTACTTTCGAGAAAAACCTTTATTTTTCGTTTCATTCAGGATGATATAGTGAGCAAGCAGCGCAGACCCCGAAACGATTATATTTCAACCTCGTCCCAATATCTTGTGTGACAGTGGGCGAAATATTGTGGCTAACAATCGCCATGGGAATGAGGTTGATTACATGTATGATCGATCGCTGGTGAACAAGTATGGCTCCCTGTGTTCATTTTGTTACAAGTTGATAAATGCGGTGCTGTACTTAATTATTTATAAGTAAGGGAACCTGCCTCCTGGTGTACTTTACTGCACCGTATTTTCTATTTTGGAATGGCTGATGGGGGGAAATGCATGGGAAAAAGACTGAATTTTAGCTCAGATCTTATTTTCACATTTTTCGGGAACTAGATTAAGACAAGGATGAAAGAGCAATGCAAGTAGTGCATGGCTTGATTTGCACAGCCAGGCTAGGCTGTGCAAATGGGCTGTGATTTCACAAAACTGGCCGTGCAAAACACGGCTGCATGGCTCCCTAGCTAAAATGCTGCTCATACTGCACTGTAGATGCAGGTTGAAAAATACTGTTGGGAAAAGATTTCTGGTAGTTAACTCATAGAACTTTATCTCTCCCGTCTTTTCTCTATGTTCCTATATATTTTGTTATTATTATTATTAGATGTTGAGCTTCTCTATGTGTTTTGAGGGCATTCTGCCTTGTGGTTAGGTTTTGTAGCTTCTGATCATCGGGTCAGAGGTTTGAATCCAGCTGGTGGCAGTATGTTGTGATCTTGGGCAAGTCACTTTACCCCTCTGTGCCTCTCTCCACCCAGGAGTAAATGGGTACCTGTGAGGGCAGACACAGTTAAGTTTAGCAGTTTGTGCTATTATGGCAGCATCAGGCTAGTATACTCCCATGGAGCTGAGATGGTCTAAGGAATGTTCAGATAGTGTGAGCCCAATGTGCAGGGATATGATAATCTGCGCCTTTGAATAGTACTTTCTAGACACGGTACTCATTACAAATGCTTCGATAATTATTTTTATTTTCTGTTCATGAATTTTTTTTTTGAAATTGTACCACTTGCACTTGAAGCAAGCATGTTTCCATAAATTTCCTGCTGCAACTGTGAAGTTCATTTCCTGCTCCACAGATGCCTCATAACTCTTACCATATGATTAACAGGCATTTTTGGCTAATATGTTAATATTGTGACAAGCATTGTGCATAGTGGTGTTTACGACCTGAGTAAGCCTTTTTTGAGTTACATTTGAATAGAATCTGGTACACTGAGTTGTGTAAATTCTCGTGAACATAACACTTTGAATTCTCCGTACTAAAAAGACTGTTACCATTGTTTGGCAAGCACAAGGGTTTATAAATCCACTACGAACACAGGGTGAGGGTTTCCCCTTGTTTTCTCCGAATGACGCAATCTACAGTCAGAATTTGCATCTTGGCATGAACAGAAAAAAGCCCTTATTAGCTTGTTATAGCTCTGAAGATACATGACACTGAGTTCGATTTGGATGCTTCAATATTTATTTGAATAGATAAAATCAGAGAAAAGTGTTTTCCTCATAAGTGTTTGTTAAGCAGTGTTAAACTCACAGCACAAAAATTTTACATTGTTGGTACATAAACGAACACAGTTACATGTACAAAATAAAAAAGTAATTGAAGCAGTGGATGTGTGTCACGAAACAAGCAAATGAATGTAGCACTAGTAAAATAAAAACAAATTTACTCATTTTATACATTTTAAAACACAAATTCCCATCTGGTTCCAGTATACTTCATGTGTATGTTGGCAACTTACATGTAGTTCCATGAGTTTGCAGATTAGCTTATGATTAAAGTCAATTTTCTAATTTGAAAGTTGCTAAGGACTCTGTTATTCTAAGTTATTCAGGTAGGTTATTCCATATTTTAGCACCACTCACAGCAAAACCTTGCATGTAGCATTCCTTTTTAGCTAAGGGGATTTTTCAGTGTTTTGTTAGTTTACAACCTTGTTTTGTGATTTTGTGTGACTGCAATAAAGAGATTCATCATAAACAGTGAAGCCATTTTATTTAGGTATTTAAAAACAGTTATAGCCTTTTTAGATTTGACTCATTCAGAAAATGGGACCCAGTTACATGTTAGTGCAGCAAACATATCTGCTGAAGGGAGGTATATTTGAGGATTATCGTTCCAGCTCTGCAGAGACATTTGTTTAGGATTGTGACATGTACATGTACCTTCCTCCCCACACAGTACAGCAATATTCCAAAATTGGCATAACTAGACTTACGAAGAGTGTTCGTAAACCACTTTTTGTTATATAATCATACATTTCGTTTAACATGCCAAGTTTAAAGGAACAGTTTTGTTACGTATTCTACATGTGGTCCTCAGCGTAGTGTTTCATCTCTTATAACTTGCAAACATTTACAGCTCTTCATCTGGACAATAAGATTATTGGCAATGTAAACATTCAGGTCTGCCTTTTGAGACTTTTGCCTTATATACCAATAAGCATGCATTTGGTTTTGTTTGCATTTAGTTTATTTTTTACATACCAATTTTGGATTTTGTCAAGAGCTGCGTTAAGATTCCTTTCCCTTTCATTAATACTAGAGAAACTCTACATCAGAGTAAAGTCATCTGCATACAGTAACAAGTTACAGTTTGGTGGTATACAAGATGGTAAATAACTAGTGTAAATAATAAGTAGAAGTGGACCTAATATCTTTGTTTTATCTTATGATTTAAAGATATGTTAATTGCTTTTATGGAAAAAGGTTTTTAACAGGGAATTGGTCATTATTACCCATATAATGACTCAAATGGCAGCTTCTATTTGCATTTATAAAAAATTGTCTCTTGGGAGATCAGTTCTACCATGAGAATGCTCAGAGTAAAAAAAAAAGGCATTGATGAAGGCAGCAAACGAATCTAATGATTTGATGATGTCATAATACGGCTCTCGTTCCCCCCACGAATTTCTTGACCTGGCGGCCATAATAGGGGGTTTTATAGCACAAGAACAGAGAAAAAAATGGATAAAGTGAATTATGTGTCACTTTTGGCAAATGACCGCTGCCATCTGCCTGAAATTCATTAGGACCTTTCTCTTATTCAACTTTATCATATGATCCAGTGTTGATCAACATTGTTGATGTAAAAGCAATTCAAAGTCGCTCTCACCGTGCAAGCTCTTTTAATTCACAGTTAAGTGCGAACAAGCAGGTGGGTGCGTTCACCCCTGAAACAGCCACTTAATTGTAGAGCTGTAGTGTGTCGTCATCAAAACAGGCTTCTATTGGATGCTAAAGACGACTTTTGTTTTCAGTTTGCCTGATATGAAGGAGGGTTTCAACTCCTGCTTTTGACGTCAGTAGCAATCTCTATTTAGTTTTTACATAATAAATTGTTTTAAATATAAGTAAATTTCATAAAAAGTGAAGTTATAAATTACCAATGTGATTGATCTTTGAAAATGGTCATTGGGACACTGGTGTCAAGTGTATCAACAGAACATATATACACATGTTTGCACACTTTTCAACATCTTTCAGACTGGAAGAATATCTATCGATGATGCTGTACACTACTCTAGACTTCTTGGAATTGTGGCATCAGCAGAAACAGAGGCGCGCACAATTGCAGAGGTTAACAACGCCTTCCTAGACAAAAGGGTATACAATTTTGGTGTGTACAAGTACTACAAACATCGTTCCTGTCAACGACGTATTTTGCAGGTGAGCCTTTGAAAGAAGTTCTTTTAATTTGGGTTACTCCACTTACTTAGAAAATCACACAGATTTAAATTTTTGTTCGGCAAATACATTAATTTCTAAATCTTTAAATCCAAGTGTGTGATTTTGGTGTTGGCAGAAAGTGTACAAATAAATTGTTAAAGACAGAGCCCCTGTTTGTAGCCTGGGAATGCCTGAAATGAAATATGGGTACAAGTAAGAAGTAAAATGCAGCTCCATTGGTAATAGGAAAAAGGGGCCAGTTGGAGCAGCCAACAATCAAGAGTGGCAACATAATTGAAAGAAAGTGCGATCGACTCTCGGTAATATGAGCTCAGGTAAGACAAGGTTCCGGTTAAGACAAGTATATTTCGCTGATCCCGACCAGGTGTATACATTCCTAAAAGGAAAATAAATCTTTAATACGAGCTTAGGTGATAAAAGATTTTAGTTAAGATGAACGCTTTTTCCTGTCCTGTTTAGTGCAGTCCAGTTGAGTATTGTTATCTATTTAGTATGAGCACTTCGAAAATAACTCATTAATCAACTAACCCAATCAGTAAAGGTGCTCTTATACAAGGCAAAGTAATAATGCTTGCTAATCCGTGACTGCCATATTGGGACATTGTAGATTCCTAGGCAATCGAAGGTTTTTTTTTTTGTGGGTTCTTTCATGCCACCGGATCAGACTGAACATTACAGACAGTGGGTGTTTGTGATTCCTAGGTCACCAGATAGCCCAACCAGAATGAAGTTGTTACAAATTTCCCACCAAAACATGAAAAGGTGAATAAAAAAATGCCCCTACCCAACTTATAAACTGATTCATTCAAATTCATTTGTCATTAAAATCCGTTCTTTTCTCACCCATAAGTGTCCTTTTTGAAGTCAACTTGAGAGTTTTAAATCCCAAAAGTTAAAAAAAAATTTCTTTTCCTGCAAAAAACATAGGACCCAGGCCCCAACCTACACCCTCTATTGTCCACTAAGAATTCACTGGTTTTCTTTACTTTGTACATGTATAAAACTGCATCTCTGTAGTCGGTCACCAACTAAAATGTTAGTATACTAATACCTGCACATTCTCCTGTGACAGCAACCACATGGTAAAAGTTTCGTGTACATTGCTTCGACAATGATTGGTGATGAGTCCACTTGCCCTGTTGCTTTTTATTGATTTCCGCTTCATTCTTTTCAGTTATAATACGCTACTCAAAAAAAGTTGAGGACCACTTTTTATTTTGTGTATATTTTTTTTTAATGAGATATTTTTTTGCTGAGTTTACCCCAATACAGCTGTCCTGGATTTTTCAAATTTTTTATTCCCATGAGAACACCATCTAGACAAAAAAATGAAAAAACTAGACCCCACTCATTGCTTGGAAAAAAAAATCATAGGGTAAGAAGTGGTCCTTAACTTTTTTATTTTATTTTATGTATTTATTTTTTTATTATGGTTTAATAAATTTGAATCACGGTGGCCAAAGGCCAAAAACAATTCAAATTTACATTACGATCTAGGTATAAAAATAAGAATATAAAAGCAAGAAAAAGAGAAAGAGGTCACCCTACACGCCAAACTCCAATAAAAGGAGGTGATTCAAAATTGCACCACCAAAACAACATTATAAACCCCATGAGCCAATAGGGTCACCAAGTGAGATTCTGAGTGCTCCTCATGGAAATCTTTCCTGATAAAACTATTAGCCATAAAAACTACTGCATCACATTGAAATTCTGGCCAATGTGTAGGGATAGTACATTTTTTATAGCGATTTTTGCGACAAGTGGGATCCTGAAGAGCTAAAATGGAACTAGATCTAAGCTGCCTGGAGTTGTTTTTTGTGGGAGGGAGCATATGCCTAAATTGAATGGGATTGAGGATTTTGTTGCCAAATTTGCAGAGAAGCATTTGACGTCTTTCTGCAAGATTTATCACGTTTAAATTGACTAACGCAGATGCATAACTATCATAATGGTGACCCAGTATAATTCTACAGGCACGCTTCCGGACCTTTTCAATGGCATTAATATGATGACTATTAATAGTAGTATGCCAAACCGGACTACAATATTCTAAAATTGGTCGAATATAAGCATTAACCACTACCTGCCAGGGACTCCGAAATCGGAGCCGTATGGTTTATATGCGTGGCCGGGGTCTCCGAACTCGGACAAAGGAAACAGGGCCCTGTAACAAAAGACTGTACTTCGAACAAAAGACCAGGCTGCTGGGCACTACCGGCATTTTACACTCTCAAAAGTGGTGATAATCCAGTGTTGTTTTGAAACCGTATACCAGGGTTTGGGGCATTGAGAGCAAGCGGATTACCACCGGGGACAAAAGCTCTCCACCACCACAGCAATGAGCCACACAGCACCGCTGCATGCT